AGCTGCGCGTGTCCCTTTCAGAAAGGTTGAAGGGGAAACAGAATGTGCCCGCTTTTAGCAGCGGTGGCTTTTAGCAGTCTAAGTATATGCATGCACACCTCAGAAACCGTATGAATTTGGAAACACTCGAAAATATCTTAATAAAATTTAGCCTGGCGCGAGACAAAGTGCTGTGAAGAGCTCATGCATGACGTCTGGCGCATTTTTGAAACGTTTCATTACCGCCGTGATGTACCCAAAAGCTCCGCCACTGGTTCGTACACCTATTCGTTCGTGATGTGAATTGTCAGATTTCGTGTCGATAACTGCTCTGTGGTAGTAACTAGTGCATGGTTAGAGAAGCAAAAAAAGACGCTAATTTCAGCAGCCCTTGAGGGAGCACGGCACAGTGCCTTAGTGAAATGGGCGAAAAGAAAGATAAGGGCCGGTAGATGGTTGATTCCCTCTCTCTCCTCCTAGCGAACATGGCAGAAATTCCACAATATAACGATAGCACGTACTAGCTGTCCTGTTAGTAGTTTTTTATTTCTCGTTTGACTATTATTACATGTTATTTTGTAAGTTCTTATATTGCTTGTATTTCTTTTAGTTTTGTTTGATTTAATATTAAAAAATTATTTCACTGTTCATATAACTTACTTTTTGCCACTCCACAGGTTTGCACGTGTACATTGATTTTGCAGTTGATTTGGTTTATTCTCGTTAGTTTTATTTTGTAGTGAATGTATAGCCCGCGCTGCTGAAAGCGTCCCGTATAGGCAGGATAAAAGGACATGGATACACCAAACACAGATGGAAGAACTAAAAATTTGTGGCCCTTAAGCTTCGCCTCCAAGAGTTGATAATTGAACATGATAGTGACATTCTGTTCCTGGTGTGTGCTTGAAGCATGTTGCATGAATATTTTTTCGAACTTGCTAGGTCCAGTAATGTGTGTGTTTTTTGTAGTAAGTGACTGGCTTTAAACCGTGGCGTCATTATGATAATGTGCTGACAACCAATGGCAATGCAGGCATGTAACACGCATTATTACTGCAATATTTCATGTTGTATTGTGGAGCATATGTATACAGGACGCGTGCGTTTGTAAAGCATAAGTTACTTTCACTGCATTTCCAGACAGAGAAAGTTATTATTTTCACTGTATTAATTCACAAGCAGGCCCGTGCCAGGTAGAACGCCCGCTTGTCACGCAAGCAACCCATGTTCGTTCCCCACTTGGACCCAAAACTTTTTATTGTTTATTTTATTGACATGCATCTTTTTCAGTTTTTTGGCCACGCATATTTTTCGCTCACAACCGAGGACGCCGGCAACAGAATTTCTGCGAAACGAGCCCAATCAAATTGCTATTACGTTAACAAGGCCGATACCTTCAAATATGCGAGTTGTCTCCGATAGTAAGTTTCGAGGTCCGTGCAACTTGCTATACTCGGGGACAACTTTTTGTGGCAATGAAGGGGACACGGTCCTCCGTGGAAGAGAAGGTTACGGAGCCAAAGTGGGCATGGACGCATTAGTGGCACTATTTCTAAGCACTTTAGAATATAGCGCCACTAATGCGTCTATGTTTTTCGCGTGAAAGTAATAAAAAAGAACATTATTTTCTACTATATGTTGCTTATAAAGAGACGCTGCACGCGCCGATCAGTTACCATTATTTGTTGTTGCTTTCTGAAGAGTCATTTCGCGTTCTTGCGCGGCTAAAAACGTCGCACATTTTGCGTGCGCCTCATAGCCAAAATGGCGTTTTCGTTTTTAGGTAAGCGCTTCGCCCTCCAGCTATTCCGACGACTCGCCGAAGGAGCTTGTCGAATTTCTCTCACAAATGGCTGTGTAAGCAGGCGTCAAATTGTGTGCAGTGGGATTACATAAACGCGGTCGTCAACGTGAGCCGAACCGGACTATTCGCGTAGGAGTACAGAAGCAGTAGCTCCGCCCACGTAGCCTTCCCTTCATTGACACAGAAAGTTGTCCCTGAGTATACAGAATACAACAAGGATGCAGTAGGGATGTTGGCCAGGAAGAAGGTTGTTTGGAGTCCACCCTTCTTAACAATTGTACTTTAAAAATATTGCAACCAACGAATGCTCCTCCACATATATTCTAAAAGTGCCTACTGTTCGGGTGCAGGCTCTGGTGACTTATAACACCCCACGGAGGGCACTTGACCTTTGTGCCTCACGTTCGCATCGCCTTCTCTATCAATAGCTTGGTTTCGATTCTCGGTGGATCAGCCATACTGCAAGGCATGCAACATGCGGTGCATGTTACATTGGACATTTAAACTATCTTAGAATGCCTGCTGCTAGAGCACTCACATGTCGCAAACTTTTCATTTTATACCTTTGCTCCTGCAGGGGAGCAAGGTCCATTTTGCACTTGCTGAATGGTTGAGCAAAAATGGACATGTAGTCGCTTCAGAAAGTACACATGTGACGTAAGAAGGCAGGGATGGTTAGGAGAGGTAGAAGAGGAAGAAGTGCAAAATAGAATAAACATGGGGTATGAGCCAGGCCACGTCGCCAATACATCATAGCGTCACACGAGTCGACAGGATGAAGACCTGGCGGCCACTTCATCAACCAGCCACCATCTCCGAACGTCTCAGCAAGACGCAGTGACCGAACGTGGACCACGAAAGTACATCCCAACACTACACCAAGACCAGCATTATGACAGCACCATCAGACGACCTTCCCATCCCCAAGTACACCGGAGCAGCGGACGATGGACCTGTACAGGACTGGTTCGACCTGTTCGAGCACCACGCAACCGCTGCATCATGGTCGGAACAGGAAATGATCACCAACTTCACTGACTACATCTCCGGTGAGGCATTCAAGTTTTACCTGACACACATATTGAAAACGACGAATCATGGCAAAAGATCAAAGAACAGATGTTTGCCCGTTTTAATGACTACGGCAAAGACTTCCTCATCACCGACCATCTGCATACAACCACACTCGACCGTCACAGTCCACGCTTATTTCTGAAGAAACGTGGCGTTCCACCAGGTTTCTCTTCACGAAAGTCAGCATTTCCAAAGTCGTGGCACCAACATACGACACGAGACGTCACTCACTCTACTGATGCCTTTCATGCTTCATCTCACATACATGTTCCACCACCTGGTTTTCTACGACGCAGCTCTTCAAAGGCTCCTAACGGTCACTATTCGTGTCATAAGGACGCCTTGTTCATGGTAGACCAGCTGACACATGGGGAAAATACCAAACAACGCCAAGATGACTCAAAGAGTGAAAATCAGTCTTCACGCATTGGAGCAGCTTACTCCCCATCTCGCAGACTTGGTTCGCCTCCTGGTTTTCCATCGCTTGGCTCTTTCGTGACTCGCAATGTCCATCTCACATCTAGCACGCTCACAATGGTCGTGATAGAGCTGCGGAGCTCGGACGATGCTACTCCAAGCCCTGGACTTACCACCCAGATTCATGCGCCAGAACAGCTCGCATCATTAGTTGGACAGAAAGAGGGCCATTCACAACTCAAATCTTACCGAACTACCCCTGTTGCGGTGTCGCCGTCCAGTGCGCAGCCACCAGAAACTCCAAACACAGAAGGCTCAGACGCATCGAACGTCGCATGCTACCAGGCGCAAGAACCACTCATAGTGAGCCGCGAAGAAGAAGCCACTGATGAACTATCTGTCTACTCTGAATGTTTTTTGTCGCAAGAGTTCATTTCCACGGCAGCGCAGACTTACCAAAATTTGCATTTTCAACCTGGTGATGCGACGTCACATGTGGTACCCTCATGCAGTGGTCACCAATCCAAGAATCGAACCAATTCAGAAGCAAATCATACATCAAACCTCGTACACAGTTGTCTTCCAGAAGCGTCCGTAATCAACCACGTCACTGAAGCCTCTGAAGAGCAGGCCAAAAATGATGGCGCACCACCACCTATGCCCGATAAGCAAGAAACCTGTTCACCATGCATCAGCTGTCTACAGGACGCGTCAAACCTCAAAGTAAATGAATGTCCCATTCCGGAAGGCTTGCCAGTTCAGCCATCTCCTGAGCAGCCTCAGCAAAGCAAGCAAAGCCCAGTTCCCAAACTCATGCTACAACAAAAGAAACTGCAACGAGGGCATCGACAAACGCAAAATTTGATGGAAGCGCGCTCTCCAATTGAAGAACATTGGAAAATGAGATCTCTAATTCAAGACGTCAGGCACTTTCGCACAAAGAAAAGTCACCAGAGACACTCCCTGCACTTGCTATTACACCGACTGCACCACCACAGAAAACGCCGAGAAAGACGCGGAAGCCCTGCTTGCACACCGCAGGCACTCGGGCACTTCGTCACAGTCTGTCAAAAAGCACGAAAGCACGAAGCACCGGAATTACACCATTCACGAAGAAAAATACAACCCCGACGACATTCGAACCGCCGATGCAACAATGCGTTCCAACCTTGCTTAGTCCCCAGAACAGTTCAAGCAGTATTGTCAGTATCCATGCGTAGCGCACTCTGTCCGGAACGCAACAGTCAAGCTCGTCCACCAGAGTCGTCATGAAAATCACCGGACTGCTCCCTCGGCCTTTAGTGAGATTGTGGAACTCCGTCGGGACGTGAAACTGTGAATTTGGCCTTTATTTTTTTATTCTGTTCTTCAATTTGTTGTAGTTTGTAACCGGTGCCATCTTTGTGGGGGAGGGGGAATCCTGTGACGTAAGAAGGCAGGGATGGTTATGAGAGGTAGAAGAGGAAGTGCAGAATAGAATAAACATGGGGTATGAGCTAGGCCACGTCGCCAATACATCATAGGGTCACACACACACACACACACACACAATAGTTTATGACACAAGCGCCTCAGTTGCTAAAAGTGTGTTGCAAGGTATGGCCCTATATATGGTTTAAAAGTGGATTCCATTTCATCACATGCCGATCAGATAAAGCTCGATAGGTGGCAGACTGGTACCAGACTAGTAACGGCTACTTCAAAATCTGCTATCAACTACAAGTTATGAACTGACAACTTGAAAAGGGTTTTATTAACCATGAAAACACACAAGATAGCAAACAACAGGTGGCAACAGGGAACAAGAAGTATGACAGCAATCACACCATTTTTCTCCCTGTGTTGTTCATGCACTGAGCTGAATAAAATTTATTCATTGAGAAGCTTAACGACGTTTCTTCCTCCTTCCATACGAATATGGCAGAAAAGTCTCCGGACGACGTCTTTCCAACAGTGGTGGTGCCCTCCCGTTCTGCTCACTGTTCCTGTAAAAATTTTTTTTTACATAAGCATGACAACTCTAGTTCTCTTTTATATACCAATCACAGCATTTATTGCGTGCAAGACATGTTTTCAACCAATCTTAGTTTTTACGTCAAAAATAAAATGAAGGTCGATTTAAAAAAATTGAAAGCAGTTAACATCAAACACAACTGTTCTAAATAGTTTAAATAACAGGAAGCACAATCATAAAATATATGCTGGTATGTATAAAATGTATAAAATACATTTTATGTATGCTTCAGCATACATAAAATGTATGCTGAAGAGGCAGACTTTGTAGTGCATAAAATTTAAGTCAAAGTTCACTGTTCATCTTATCACATGCGGATCAGGATAAACCTGGTGGACTGCTGGCATCAGTTGTAACGATTGTTATCAAGCTCTACTTAATCAGCACACACTGAAATGCTCTGTCTCGCTTGGCAGGTTCACCCATGGTGAGGTGAAATTTTTACGTGTGGAATCCTGTGCTCTATGGATTTACTCTGAAGTACAAATTACTTACTGCACGCTGTGGCTTGAGACACCAGGCGTGCTCTTGAAGTGGGGAGTTCTACGCCACTGCCCTGAAGAGACGCTCAAGGATGAACATGCGGATCCCCCTTTAGCATTGTGTCCAGTGCTTCCAGTCTTGGTCAGTGCTTTACCGTGACGTTCTATTGGAGCATCAGCAACAGGTGCTCTACCGGCTGTTTCAGAAACGGCTTGAGAAGAGTCTTTACAGCGTTTAGCTGGCTCCTGGCTAGACATTTCAGGAACTGTGTGAGAAGGGTCCTTGGATGTTTTAATGGAGGGCCGACGGGCTGTTTCAGGAACAGTTTGAGAAGCATCTTTGCAGGGCTCACTTACAGCTATCTTTGACTTGCCCATCTCTGGCATATTGGATGTGTCAGCACCATTCTCATAGCTTGATGTACTAGCCGGTCGCCTGGAAAGCTTTGCATTCAGACGTGTTGCTAAGCGTGGTGGTAGTTTTGGTGGAGGATTAACTGAAGTTATTTTGGTGTTAGCTCCAGCCTGCGGTTTAAAACAACGGCCTTGCACAAACTTAGGAGTATGGCGTGGTATGGGAAGTGGCGTGTGTCGGGAAGATGGACCAGTAATGCTTTTTGTGACATGTGTGGCTGTGGACTCTGACCGCACTGGTAAAGAAGAGGATGTAGTTATGCTGGCTGAAGGCGCAATATTCACAGTGGAGGGAATATTAAGCAAGCCTGGCCGAGGAGCTACAGGGTGTCCATCACGGGGTGTAGGAGGCGGAGGATGAAGCCATGGGCCACGCAATGAGTCAGCTGTCGGTTTTAAAGGAGTTTTAGCACCAGCAAGAGATTGTCCTTGGTATGGGCCAGTTTCAGCAGCTGCGGGTGGTCGTTGAGGTGGTGGGTGCAGAATTTGCCCAAAGGTAGGTGTGGCAACTGGCTGTGTGCTTGGAGGAGGCATAGCTGCAGCTCTCATCCTCAACTGAGTCCACGGTGCTGGGGGCCAAGTAGACTGCATAGGCCTGCCAATTGCCCTAGAGATCGATTCCTGAGTGCTCCTGTTATCTAATGGTGGCAGTAACCAAGCAGACCATGGCCAGGTCAACTGACCATGACCAGGCCAAAAGGGGTTCCATGAAGTGGGCCAAGAGGGCCTAGCACCCAGTCGAAGATGAGTGTTCCCAAAAGTAGATGCTGGAGGCCGTGTGCTAGGTGGTGGAGACACACGAATATGGCACGTTGGTGTACAGTTTCCATGGCCAGGTAAATTACAAATGAAAGCGCCAGCCCTAGGGCCATGTGTAGACCATGGTGCAGGTTCATGCTGATGCCAAGCAGGTGGTCTCGGTAGAGCATCGTGGACAGGATGTGGAGGTGGCCAAGGGAATGTCCAAGGAATTCCACCACAGTTTATGTTACCAAGTGAGGTGGACAACAATGGAGGTGGTACTGAGCAGTTAAAAATTGCAGAATTTGTTGAAGTGTTATGCCAAATAGGATGAGAAATAGAGGTGGCACATGTGGAGCTGCCTGACATAGCTGTACTGAATGCAAGCTTAGAGGACGATGAAGAATCAGGTAACGATGTATCAGATGAAGTGACAGCCTCAGCCATTGAAAGATTAGGTGCGAGAGTCTGAGAAACTGGTGTGTCACTTTCGTATGAATGAAAAATATTATCGATAGGCTTGCTTGAAATATTGGTGCTGCTCTTCGATGAAATTTCTGAAGTAGCAATGTCAGTAGTGGTGCTCTGGGAATCGTTTGCCAGCGAGCAGTCGGGAAGTGTGACACTTTGAGGCAAACTATGTGACTGTGAGGTGGTAAGATCAAAAGTATATGGCTGAGATGTATATTGCTCAGATGCATATGGCTCAGATGCGTATGGCTCAGATGCGTATGGCTCAGATGCATATGGCTCAGATGCATATGGCTCAGATTCATATGGCTCAGATTCATATGGCTCAGATGCATATGGCTCAGATGTGTGCATCCAGGACACTTGGCTGTTCAATGCATTTTCCGCAAGGGATGGTGACACTAAGCAATCAGCCTGTGTGGTGCCGTTGGACACTATATAAGCCTGCGAAGTTGAAGTAGACCATGTAGTAGCATAGGATTTTGCTGTGTATGCAGGAATAGACTGGAGGCTTGAAGTTATAGGTAAAGTAGTCTCCCTTATAGCATTACTATCAGGCATGGTGTTTGAAGGCACATCTTTCATAGCTGTACAGTAAACAGCATTGTCATGGATGGTGGAAATAGGGGCTTCCACACTGCAGTTCACAAAGTTAGACTCTAGAGAGTTCTTGTCGAATGCACCACTGGTACCAGAGCATTCAACATTTGTTGCAGCAGGCACCTTCGTAGCTGATGCTGTTGAATTTGCAAGTGTAATATCTGGCTCCACAGCAAAATATGCAGGTGTCATATCATGTGCCATTTGTTCTGTAACACCAAGAAAAGCTTGGCTAACCGGTGGAATGTGTGACGAAGCAGTTGACTCTGTAGTTAGGGAAACTGGATCAGGGTCAGGCAAAGTTCCAGTGAAACTTGCATTCGATGAAGTCTTCTCATCAGCTGTGCCATTAGTAGCAGAATATTTGCTCGTATACTTGCTTGGTCCAAAGTGATTTTGAACCAATGAATCAGAATGGGCATTGGAGGTTGGTGGACTTTTTCCAGGTGCTTGGGTACTGGAATTCATGCTCGGGATGATGAAACCAGGTGGTTTTATCGTTGCTGACGAAGGCTGGTTTTCAGGAGAAAAGTCCACTGGCAACGATGCAGCAATACTTGGCAATGCCAAACCAAGGTTTGGCTGCTGCAGCGGCCATATGTCCTCGTTTCCACCACGGGCTGAAGATGATCCCTCCTGAAACTAACAAGAGCACACATTAGTTACACCTGCTTGTGTAAACTTATACACTACAATTATGACTAAGAAAATAGCAAAATTCAGATTTTAAGCAACTTTAAGCGACATGTTACATGGGAGAGTTTCTTATGGCTTGGTTGGTGAAGCGCTGGAGGGATGCTGTTAAGTGGTGTTTCCTAGTTGTCTTCTAAAGAATAAGAAAATGCAAAGGCTAAATTGTATTTGTTTACATTGTTTGGAATGACCGCAGTTGTGTCGACAACACTTTATATGCAAAGGAAAAAGACGCCATTTCATCAACCTCTTCTCCTCCTTTTGCAAACCTGTGGAGACCCATTTGATGTTGTAGACAAGGGCATGTATCGCCACAAGCCTGAATAACTTGACGTTTCACCATATTTCAAGTGGTACTAATAAACCTTATATCACAGATTGATTTTGTGGCACTGAAACATTTGGAAAGCATCTTTCACAAAATGACTATTGTGTATGAAACTGAAACCATGCTTGTGACATTAGCCACAGGCAACCACTTGTGGCACATGTAGTAACATCCGCATCACAAAATGGCAATGGGACATATTTTAAAGCTAGACAAGTAGAAATGGTGATGCCCCCTCTCATTATGAAAGCTAATATCGCAGTAAAGTTATTTGGCCCACTGAGGACAGCTACCTTGCATCTATAATGTGTGACCAAAACCTGTGGGACAGAACTTGTCCAGGCAATGGTGCTTAAAATGGCATGCAATTAAGGTGCATCCAAAAGTGGCCTTAAATCGAGCCAAATCAGTGAAAACAAAGAACTGCCAGCAAAACAAATTTCTCTCTGTGAGGGTACACTGCACTTGCCTTTTTTTTCCGTAAACGTAGCAGCAAGCCATGATTTTTAAAGATCATGCTACATTGCACAGATACATTTTTATTTGGAACTCTTGGAAATTGGATGCATATTACATTAAGCTAGGTACTGTATAATCAGTTGTGCGCCGCAATTTCACACTGCACTCTTTCTAGTCTGTGCACAGCAGAGTTTCATACTATAACCTAGAAGAAAATCGTTCAACCACCATGGGAATGTCGGGAAGTACAGGCTTTGGACTGGATTGGGTTAGCTAGTGAACTGTCTACGACTCTTCCTCTTGTTTTAGTTTCGTTGCCACGCCGCAGATCACGGCCGCAGATGTATCCTGCCACAATGTCTACAGTGCCCTTTCGCAGCAAAGCCCTGAAGCAAAGCCCTAAAGCAGTATTTTTGTTGTTGAAAGAGGCAGGAGCAAAAAGACCTTTTGGTTAATGGCAACATTACAGAATTACAAGTACCGTATAAACCGGAATATAAGTCGAGATTTTTTCAGTAAAATAATAAGCTAAAGTCACCCCTCGTCTTATATAGCAGTGTCTAGCCGAAAGTGCAACTCTGTCTGGCAACAAATGGTTTGCATGTGCTTGCGAAGCCAGACGCGGCCATGTCCGCATCCAAATCCAATCGCAGTTTGTTTTTTTTTTTCTGTTTGTGATTTGCTTCTGATCTTCCGAGTTATCGCTCTGCTTGACATTGCGCTGCATTTTTAGTGGCCTTTTTTTTTTCGTTCACTGAATATGTTTAGTGGTGCGAGGAGGCAGTACTCAGCTGCGTTTAAACTAGATGTTAAGTTCGACATACCCTAACGATGGTTTGACATGCCTTCGTCGACCACGATCATGCAGCACGGCGCCAAGGATGTGAAGCTGCTGTCCACTGGCAACGAGCACTCGCGCTTCACCGTCATGCTGGCATGCACGGCAGATGGTAGAAAGCTTCCGCCCTTCGTCATTTTCAAACGCAAGACAATGCCGAAGGAAGTGTTCCCGCCCGGTGTTGTCGTTCGCGTCAACAAAAAGGGATACATGGACGAGGCCATGATGCTCGAATGGATACGAGTGGTGTGGAACCGTCGGCCAGGTGCACTGCTGCGTCTTCGCAGCATGCTGGTGTTGGATGCGTTTTGTGGCCACTTGACCGACGCAGTGAAACACGCACTCGGCGACGGGAAAACTGACCTCGCAGTGATACCAGGTGGTATGACGTCCACCCTCCAGCCACTCGACGTTGTACTAAACAAGCCGTTCAAGGACCGAGTGCGGCTGGAATACCAACAGTGGATGTCCGGCGACAACCCCAAGACACCGACGGGCCGCCTACAGAGGCCTCCGCTTGCGGCTGTTTGTGGCTGAATGCTTTCCGCCTGGCGCTCCTTGCCGGATTCCATGGTGGAAAATTCTCTCAAGAAATGTTGCATCAGCAACTCGCTGGATGGCACTGAAGACGACGCACTGTGGGAGGCGGCCAGCAACAAACTCTCGTCTTCAGAAGACAGTGGTGCTTCGTCGGACGAATAGGAGCAGTTGCGATGGTGGTAGAGGGAGCTCCCGACGATCGGGATGCGGTGCACCAATTCGCGAATAAATGTGGTTCGGCAGTTTTGGGTTGTTTTCCTTTTTCGGTAACCTGAACTTGGGGGGTCGACCTATATTCCCACTCGACCTATAGCCCGGTTTATACGGTAACATTTTTACAAGTAGTATTTGCAGTTTAAGCTTCATTCCCTCACAAGTCTACACTGACGTAGCATCCCGAAATGAAGTAGCATCTATGCAAGGAACTCCATAGATGATTAATTCATTTTATATTATAAAATATATACAAGGTGTCCCAGCTAACTTGGACCAAAATTTTTTAAAAAGTATGCTTTTTACAAAAGTTCCATCTATTGTATATCAGTGAAGGTCATATGTGCTTACAAGCATTATTTATCATGATTGATCACTGTTTAATTAATTGATCTAATTAGTCAACTTTTTGCTATTGCTTGAATCAGTAAAATATCTGTAAGCTTAAGCTCGCCTCAAATAAACCTAGAATAAAGCATTTATTCTTTGCTAAAACCTGGTTGTTTTTTCAGAGAAAAAAAACAAACAAAAAACCATGAAACACACGAAACATAAATTGACGTGAGCTCACGCACTGCTACTCGAACACTTTCAAGCATTGTTTGATTGATACACAGCTGTGCTCATTTGTAACCACTTTGTACAAGGCTTCATGCTCAAAGATAGCCGTGCCAGCAGCGTCTTTCGATGCACGTTCATCAAATAGCATGATGCCCTGTACAACAAACAAATGCAGCCATGTATCAACTAAACAACACTTGTGAGCGCTTGAGTAGCAAAGTGCAAGCGTGCACCTATTTTATATTTTGCATGTTTCACACACTTTTATTTTTTCTATAAAAAACTATCAGGCCGATTTTAGCAAAAAATAAATGCTTGATTCTGGGGTTAAGATGAGCTGCAACTTACAGACATTTGAGAAATAGTAAAATGTCGGATAATAAGGTAATTAATTAGCCATTAGTGATGAAAAAAACACAGCTTGTAAGTACACACGACTGCCGCTAAATGCCCAGCAAGAGTGTGAGCCACGGATGTGAGGATCTACAGTGCTCTATGCATAGATGTGCAAGGCATCACAGCAGAAATTACATTACACTCAAACCTCCTTATAACAAAGCTGCATCTTACACAAAAATCAGTTTGTTATATCCGTAAATTTGTTATAAAGGTATATACCTAATACTATTTAAAAGGGGTTTATTGGCGTGTGTGGCGACGGCAGCCCTACGATGAAAACATGATCAGGACAGAGCAACGGTCAAGGAGATGCCGGCGACGATCAGCAAGAGGCGAGCGAGAGCCCAGTACTCAAGCGGTGGTGATGTTGCTTGCCTACGATGCGTGTTCTTCTCCACAATTTGCCCCCGCCGAAAAAAAAGAGCCATCCTGGCGACCTAAGAGTCTGGAGGCAGAGGGCTATGGTATGGCTTAAGGTGGGCGATGTGGATGATGTCACATCTACGCCGGCGCATGTCGTCAGATGGAGAAAGTGGCTCAATGAGAAAATTCACCGGTGAGGTTTGCTCCAAAACATGGTAAGGGCCCTCGTACTTTGGGACGAGTTTTGAAGAAAGGCCGGGGATTTGGTAAGGAACAGCCAGCCATACAAGTGATCCCGGGGAATAGCTGTGGCTTCGTGAAGAGTCGGCGTTGTTTTCTATCTGGCGGTGCTGTTCTTGTGACGTAAAGGTGCGTGCGAGTTCACGGCACTCTTCCGCTTTTCGGGCAGCTTCAGACACAGATGGGCATTCGGATGCGTCAGGACGGTTTGGAAGGAGAGTGTCGATGGTGTGGGAAGGTTCGCGTCCATAAAGAAGAAAGAAAGATGAAATTCCAGTGGTAGACTGTGCCACGACATTGTATGCGAACGTGATGAATCGAAGAATGCGATCATAGTTAGTATGATCAGATGTCACATACATCGCGAGCATATCGCCGAGGGTGCGGTTAAATCTCTCCGTGAGCCCGTTAGTCTGCGGGTGGTATGCTGTGGTCTTGCGATAAACAACATGGCATTCAGAAAACAGAGCCGTGACGACTTCTGATAGAAAGGCTCGACCTCGGTCACTTAGTAGTTCTCGAGGTGCACCATGTCGTACTATGAAGCGATGGAGGACGAAGGACGCTATGTCCTGCGCAGTGGCACTTGGAAGGGCGGCGGTCTCAGCGTAGCGTGTTAAATGGACCACAGCGACTATGATCTACTGATTTTCATCTGATGTTATTGGTAGAGGGCCACAGAGACCAATTCCGATCCGATCGCAAGGTTTGGCGGGGCACAGAAGCGGTTGAAGTGCACCAGACGAGTGGAAAGGCGGTTATTTGTGGCGCTGACAGTCAGGGCAGCACATAACAAATTTTCTAACAAAATTATACATTCAGCGCCAGTAGAAGCAATGGCGAATATGTTCGTAAGTTTTGAAAACTCCGGCATGGCCACATTGGGGATTGTCGTGAAAGGAGGCGCATATTTGTGATCGCAAGCTGCGAGGGACAACCAAGAACCACTTACGACATTCAGGGGCATAGTTGCGTCGGTGTAGCAGCAGATCCCGAATGGC